GCAATAAAGTAATTGCAATGGAATAATAAAAGTGACGATCGTTTCGATGATCGCTGGCATTGCGTGCCGATCGAGCTCGACACAGGAGAAGCTGAGGTGGTGGAGAGCCGAGGCAGATCCGCCGGCTTGTCACGGACAACCTTCTCCCCCACTTCGATCGTTTACTCGATGAACTCAAGTTGGCGTAGGATTTCGTCGTAGGTGAATGAAAATATCAAGCGCGTAACAGTAGACGCGCGTATATTAGAAGACGAGTGAATGGCAGAGTGTGGCAAAAGCGTGCACTCGCTACGTCAATTACGCCGGCTAATCGTACGAGCTTCGGCAATGACGATAGCGCGTTAATAAATGGGCATACGTTTTTCTCGCAAACTTTTTGCCTTTTTCTCCCTCTTTTTTTTTTTTTTTTTTTTTTTTTTTTTTTTGGTCTTGATCGTGAGTCGAGGGAACAGCAAGAAGTAACAGAGACATATAGATATTGCGGAAACTATATTGCACACCGCTGTGTTGTATATAGGTTGAACTCTTTCAAGGGGTGAAGAGGAATTTTGGTGGTCGCAGCGGTAACAACAGCATCGTGCCTACGTGTTACCCGAACGATCTCTACCACCTGTAGCACACCGTTGTTATTCGTTCGTAAAAATTATACTCTATACAGAGCGATGAGCAAAACTGAGGGCACACATGGAATAATATTTTATCGAGTATTTGCATGTAGAATACGAAAAAAAAAAACAAACAAACAAAATATGTAGCGTTTATTTAAAGTAATAACTAAATAGAGTAAATATATTTTAAGTTTCCTCAAACAACTACCATCGCCACTCTGGCAGATACAAACTGTTTTTTTTGGAGTTCTGTCCGGATATCAGTTGCGATTAATATTAATATTAATTTGCGAATTAATTTAAATGAAAAATTATCGATACTTTAGACTGCTACAATTTCGAAAAAAAGAGATCGTACGATAATCTGTTTGGTCTCGTTTGAAAGCGTGAAGCTTCTGTTTTGATCATCCTGATCTTGTTTTTTTTCTCAAGACATTTTCACATCGTGTAGCAAATGGAAAAGTGTTCTCTCTTTTAAAAAAAAAATTCGAGGTAACAGTTTGACGCTTTTAAAATGAAGCCACAGTAGATCAGTAATCACATGATTTTCTTTTACGAAGTTACAACAAGTTTGGAGTATCAACAATTTTTTACCATTATGCGCTTGGTTATGCTCGTCACTGTACGTACCTTTGGTAAAAAATTGTCAAGTAGTAGTCTTGTAGTTTTTTTGTCTGTCATCGCTCGACTTATATCACGTTATTGGTACGAGTTTTTCATATTTCTCATACTCTCATGCGTCATTCAGTGATCACTAGAGTGTCTTAAATTCCGAATACGTTGTCAAATCTGATAGAAGATGGCAATAAAAATAGCGTGGTGCATGTGCTATTGAAAATCAATAGCAAAATATCCTTGAGTCTGGCAAACTGCGTCCAATAGTTCGACCACGCGATGAAGTAATGGGGATATTTCGTTTGCAGACGCGAAATTTGGAAAATAGGTTTTTTTTTAAACGACCTGTCGGTGGCAAGGTCAGTGCCGTAAATGTAGTTATGCTTCCTCGACCCTCGATGGTCTGTACTTTTTTCTTTCTTTTTTTTTCTCTGTTTTCTTTTCGTTTGTTACATTTATATTGATCGTCTACTCTCGAAAAGGCTATTCAAACTGGTCCTTCGCGCGAAACGAAAAACTCGTTCATGGTCGATCGACGATCAAACAAGCTCTTACCTTACCGTTTATTACCGATGTTCGGTGAAAAAGCTGCTTGTTTTCTGCGCCGAAAACTGTTTTGCCTGCAAATAAAGAGTAACGTGTTACAAAAAATTTATTTGTGAAACAAACGGTGTTGTTTAGCCATATCTTTTTTTTTATCTTATCTTTTGCATAAATTTTACTCGAATTAAATTATCATTGCTTTGCTATCGGTTTGTTATCTGGAAATTGAAACAAAAAAAACTGCAATGATTGTACGTAATCTGCATGATCTCTGTCGTGCATTTTTGTACATATTGTGAATCGTTTCTATCGGTCATAGTTTATCGCAACTTCTTTCATCCTATTCTCCAATAACTGACTGTCATTCATGTAACATCTATACGATGATTTGCTCATCGCTTCCACGATCCACGATGCAACTTACTCCACACTTGTCACGTATCAAATCATTGTATTATACATTGATTCGAATATCATTTTGAGTCAGGACGGCAGAAGTCTGAAATTTAATCTCTTATTATTTTGCGCGCTGTTTGCTAGAGTCGATGACAGCAACTAAATTATTATTTTTTTTTTTTTTCAACGATTTGTAGTCTAGCACTGAAAACTAGAAGAATTCCTGTGCTTGTTTGATCGTGTCTTTATCACGTAATGCCTGAGCAATAAAGGGATCAAATCGAGGCAGCAAGTCCGCACGTTACCTGCTTGTCTTACATATATGTGTATGTGCATACGTATACAAGCACATATGTACGTTGATCGATAGGAATATACATATGTACATATACGTCGAGTCAGGTGGATTCGATAAATGAACGTGTCCCGTGGAAACTGCTTTGTTTTATTGTTTGTCATTGAATTGCCTGTCATTGCGAATGAAATGTTCGCACAGAACAACACGTCGAAAATTTCGAATTTGGTTTGGCTGGTTGTAATAACACGCATGTATTGCCGTATCAGAATAACACGCCAATCGACGACAATATTAAACGACGAATATTGAGCGTTTGAATTTTCGTTTATGTACCCGCGACTTGTTTATTTGGCTATCATTGAGATATAAGAACGTGTCAACCACACAATGCGTTTTAAGGACTGTGAAAGGCGATTAGCACGACGCTCTGTTCTGTTTCCAAACGACTTGCGCTAGCTGTTTAGACTGTGTGCGTGATTCAGTGGATGCACGAGTGAAAGTGTATTAGATGCTAAACGATATTTAATGATTTCAAGACGCAAGCTTCCAGATATTCGAGCCAAGGGCTCGACACTTACGTTGCCTTAGACACAAGAAAGGATTGCCCTTCCTGTTTATGGAAATCAGAGGTCGCCTTCTGACTTTAAGCAACTATAAGAAAAAACTAGAAATAGAACGATTTATAATGGAGATCATCTACATTATCTTGTTTATCTATTTCTCTTTCTTTTTTCCCATCAAATATGTCGTCGTTTGGCACCTTGACAGGGGAGACTTTTTTCTTTTTCTTTTTTTAATAAGAGAAAGCTAAGATTTTTTAAATAGGAGAATTGATGAAAATGGATAAGTTATTTCTACAAGACTCGGCAGGGAAAGAGAAGAGAGAGAGAGAGAGAGAGAGAGAGAGAGAGAGAGAGAGAGAGAGAGAGAGAGAGAGAGAGAGAGAGAGAGAGAGAGANGTGAGTGAGTGAGTGAGTGAGTGAGTGAGTGAGTGAGTGAGTGAGTGAGACAAAGTGATATTAGGACGGATCAGGGGTGAGCAATAGAAAATGGTGGCCAAGGAAGAAGGGCGGGTCGGCTGCAGGGGTTGCGCGCGCCTCCACAGATCAATATTTCATTTTAGCTTCGCCAACCAGCCAGAGAGCGAAAGAGACAAAAAAAAGTATCTAACTGTTCTTGCGCTCGTCTTTTTACAACCATTGTATTCCACATAATTACCACTCTTTTTTAGCAACCGCGCATTCGTCGATAACGTTTCTCCCTTGCCTTTCCTTTCCCTTCGAACTAAGTGCCCTTTGAAACGCATTCTCGTTTTCTAATTCGTTTCTTCTTCTTGCTCTGTTCTTTTCTTTTCTTTTCTTTCTTTCTTTTGTTCTTGCTTTTTCAATTTAACGCTTTATCGATCGGTTGCTTTTGCTATGGACAATGACGCGTTGCCAGGAGCATTTTCAGAAAATGGGGAAAAACACAGATCTGTACATTGAATGCGAATGTCGCGAAACCCTTCAGCAAGAGCCAGAGCGCTTTCAGCGAATGCACGTCGCAGTGTAATCATTTCACACAGGACACCAATTAACATGCTTGTTCATTAGGATACTAATACGATATCTTCAGTCTCTTTTGTAACGCGACATTATAATGTAAATTCGGGAATTATCCAAAAAAAGAGTAAACCTTGCAGTCGGAATATTGTACAAAAAACTTTAAGTCAAAACTTTACTGTTTACTAACTACAAACAGTAATATCGTTCGAGAGGAAAATAAAAATCAGTCGATGTATTCGACGTTGGGCTTGTTTCATACCGTGTACATCGAGAAATCTAATTAATTTTATTGTTTATCTAATTTCGCGTTAAAATGAAACGCGGTCTGACCGTCTGATCCTTGTCGAACTATCGTACAAGCTTGGGATGCATACAAATAAGAAGCGAGAGCTTATAACGATCTTGGTACTTTATCGATCCGAGACGACGATGGAAAGACCTATTTCAAAAGCGTATATGGAGTAATTAACTTGAAGAAATAAAGTCTACGAGAAAAGAGTAGAGTCGTACTATAAAACAGAAATTCTTTTCGACTATATATATATTATATATATATATACAGTTCGATTCGAAGAGACATTCAAAGTTTGATTTACAAAAACCAAACGGATATGTGGCGGTAAGAAAAGAAAGAAAGAAAAGAAAAGAGACAATAATATAAAATGTATGTAGATATAAAAGAGACGTATGATGTGTGTGAAAGAGATAGATATATATATATGTACAGAATGTGTAACACGCAGCACTGCATAACTGCGTAACGCAGCGCAATACGACACATCATATTCCATGGCTGGCGTCCCGGGACAGGGACAGTCGTGCGCCACTGCCCCACCCAACCTCGTCGAGCCGGCCATGCTGGGCAAACCGATCAATACTTCGGTTCGGTCGCGAAGGAGACCGAGGAAAACCGATCTGGGACGAGCAGAAGCGAGTGCGGACGAGTCCGGGCACGAGGCACTCCGAGTCCCCACCACGAGCAGCGTTGCCGGCTCAGTCACTGTGCGGGAGTGGTCACTGAGGGATGTGTGGTACCGCGTAACTGAGTGTGACTGAGGAAAAAGACCCGGCGTAGTTTCTCCGCGTAATACGCTCTCGCTCTTTACCCCCCCGGACGGAAGAAAGAAAAAAAAAAAAGATAGAACTAGCAGTACCGAGAGTCTAGTCAGTTTTCGGCCCCCCTCCCGAGTTTACGCGAGACTACGGAAATACGCTGACCGTATATTTATTTAAGTATTTATTGTACAAAAGACTTTAATTATAGGTAAGACTGCGACGACTCGTTGCTCCGCTTCTTTTCTATGCATTTCTTTGCCTCGCATTTTACCTTCTTTTTCTTTTTTTTTTTTTTTTTTTTTCTTTTTTTTTTTTTTTTTTTTTTTTTTCCTTTTCATTTACGTTTCGTGAGTTCACGTCAATTCACTTCCTCCTCATCTTCTCTCACGTCTTTTCTACGAGAGTTTGCTCATCTTTCTTTTTTTCTGCCTTCGTCGTTTGGCTTTGTACTCTCTGTCGTGCATGCCAAGGTACAGGTGACTGCTTCGAGCCGCTTTTCCCAAAGTTGTTCTTCAAAGTATCTCGAGAATGTGCTAGAAACTTCGTTCCCCGTGTCGTGATCACTTATGATTAGACCGAACAAGTCGGGGGAAAGTGAATCGGTTATCGATCTCTGCGGTAGTAATACTGCGACGCAGAAGTGAATCGGTGCGGTTTCCGCAATGACGCCGATTGGTTTTTCGCCGGAAGCAAGGTGTTCCCGTTGTCGGTTTCTTTGTCCTCGTCCATATCGCGACACGAAGCGATTGTGAACGCTTTGAGGACGGGGCGTGTTAGTTGAGGAGAGAGAGAGAGAGAGAGAGAGAGAGAGAGAGAGAGAGAGAGAGAGAGAGAGAGAGAGAGAACGTAGACGAGGAATTTCGCTCTCGCTTCGTGAAAGTAGCGCCGTGGCGCTCCGTTTGACTGCTCCCTCTTTGGCCGAGCTATGCGACTACATCCAATATAACCTCAAATCATTGATGATAAACGTGTACGATTTTTTTTCTTCTTTTCTTTTTTTATTTGAAAGCGTTTCGTGCGTGTGACCTTCCAGTCTGATGATGTGAGGTTCGCTCCTTACCTGCGCGGAAGTTCCCACTTTGCATGTCTGTAAATTGGATGTCTCTTTCTGCCTGTTAAAACGTGTTCGCGTGACAATTTTGTCGTGTCTTTTTTAAATTCCACGGAACTCTTGCCCCTTTGTGGTTAACAAAATTGTATCGATATCTCCCTGAACCAACGCACTGAAGTGATACGCGTTTGGCAACGAGCAACATGCACGAAAAGAACGGCAATTTTTTTCCTGTAGTCTAATGTTACACGATATAGATAAATGTAGATAAATGAGCTTCTTTGATAAAATTTGTATCGTTATCAACGTGACAGGGATGTCACGTTTCCCGATCAGCGCGACATCTTTGCCATTTTCGTTTCACTTGTTGAAATTATCACATTTCTCGAGTGGCTTCATCAAAGTAAATGATTTTATTTCTGAGATTTTTAATGCAATTTAAAATTGGCCATGGCGAGATCGGACGAATGCGAAGTAAATGCGGAATGAAAATAATAATTGAGAAAAAGAGAGATAGACACGCAGAGGAAATTGCGAAAGGAACGCTAAATATTTTGGAGCGAGAAACGATGCCAGAAAGTCAAATCGGTCGTAGTCGATCCTGAATGGCAGATAAGAGATTACGTCGATCAGTTCGAGCGAACAGTTGCATATCATATCTCGTTCGTGATGTGCTCGAAAAACTAGCGTCGGAAATATTTCGCTGGCAACATAGGATTTCTCGTCGTCAGTTGTCCTCCTCGTAGATCCGGCAACAGTGTCGTCGAGCTGCTGCTAACCTAAAGCCAGGTGATTGCGCGCGATTAAATATAGGACGTCGAATACACCTACCAGTTTAATATTTCCGTCCGGGTTTCTTCGAAGAGGAATTTGGCTACTTGACCTTCCGTCCGATCTATCATTACGCGTGTACATTACACTCTGTCGAGTAATCATTCGGTAATAAGAATCGTGCGAAATAATATAAAATTTCGATGGGTTCAACTGGATCGATTTGTACCTTGCTCTGACATAATCGATTCGTATAATAATCACGCTTGAAGTCGCACGTAATTTTAACCAAGCACTTGCATATTGACGCGAGGAACGATGTTCGATGAATGCGTATTTTGCACCGTGATTTACATATGTGCATACATCTGAGCGTATGCATTCGTATGTATTCTTGAACACTGTACAAACAATGTATAGTTTCTTCACAGTGTTCTCATTCTGTATGATAATCCACGATGAATATGACAAACCGAAAGTCAACTCTAATCTTCGTTGCCTTATACGAATCGTTAGAGAAAAAGAGCATCTTTTTCTGTTTGCGATATTTGCTTCTGTATCTCAACAACTTGGTAGGCACTCGATACGTAATTTCTGTGCAATTAGCGCGGCTAACCAGCGTGATAAAGCACGATTAAAAGAAAGGGGAAATTTCGAAAATGCTGCTTTTCAAACTTGAAAAGTGTGAATTGGAGATATACACGAATTATGGAAAATATGCATGTACGCGTATTTTACGATTAATCGTAGTAGCTTCGTAGCTACGAAGCGACATAAATTTACCAATTTGATACGTAAAACGCTGTTGTTCGCTACTTCTTTAAGTGGAACAGTATGCATTTCGCTTGAGGAATTAATAACGAGTATACCGCGCACACGTGAAATCGATCGTCGCGTTTCAGCTTTTAAAATTACCTACTTCGAACACGGTATAGTAATATTAGTAATATTCCAGCATGCGCCTGTGAGTAAAATATAAAAATGGCGTTTTACTTTCCTTCCCTCCCCCCTTTTTTTGTAACAATTCCAAGTTCCCTTCTATTTTTATTATGCTATAAGCAACATTACAAATCATATTATAATATTATATTAACATCATATTATAATATTATATTAACATATACAAGGTGGACTAAAAGTTTCTTCCCATCTATCTTTCTTAAATAAAACTTCAAAATATAAGAAAAAAACTAATTTTATTAATTTTAAATTAAAGTTGAAACGTGATTTTTTTCTATTTTTTATATTTTAAAAATCATTTCTGTTATTATTATTTTGATAGGAAGTGATTTTTGGCGCACTCTATTATATATATCATACTATATATAATGACATATAATACAGTGTAATACATATAATGTATTTGTACAAATTGGCAACAAAATAGGATTATAAATATTGTTCTGGTTTGCGTTTAATTCATCGGCTCGACAATGCAAACGCTTGTCATATTATAATTAAACTACTATTTTTTCATTCGAATTGAGAGATTTTTCCGAGATGGTCAGAATCTTTGAAACGAATCGCACGGAGTTTGCGCGTCGTCTGTACGTACGAGAAAAGAGAAAGAAGAACAGTCGATAACGAAAGGGAATAGAAAATGGAGTCAGACGTACGTAAGATGATGAATGACAGTCCATCGCTTCCGATGTAAGTCCGCAATTCATTACTTTTTTTTTCTTGAAGCAATTACAATCGCCGGATACGTGTGAACATGTCTACAGGCTTTGCTCGTTACGTCGCGATCTTCTTTACACAGTCATGATTCACTGGAAGAGAATCGGACGTCATACGTGATTAAGCTGAAATGTGAAAACGTTGTGCCGGTACTACTACGGATTCTCGTTGCTATTAATCGTGCTTGATTGCGTTTACCTACCGATCGTGCATGTGTGTTTAAAGACCGATGCTCTTGACAGTAGTTGAGATTGGAAACGTGCAAATGCGTAAAACTACGAAAGTGAAGATCCTGGGAGAGTGTGCGCGCGCATACGGTCGACGAACGGTCGTCGTGAGGCGTGTTAAAAGGAGCCGAGATGTTTAGAATGTGTGCCTACTACGGTTTGGTGTTGTAACGCGGTCCGATGCAGTGACTCATCGTTACCATTCGATTATATTCACGTTAGTGAAATTGTCGTTGCATGGAGAGTCTCGTTTCTTTTCACCTACGCGGAATCCCTAGCGATCGATTGTTTTATGCAACGAATTAAAAATCGATCGCAATATGCGCAATTAATAAAGACAGAATAGAGGCTTGTGTGCAGCTTCGATACGATGTGACAATCTGATGTTTTAACATTTCATCGCGAATCTTTCGATTAAAAGGAAGAAAAATGATCGACGACACTTTAACGAATTAAATTGATAACCTATTATCAGATACCAATGTTGGGTCATCAAAATGGCCAAAAATACCGAAAGTTCGAATTTTCAACTTTATGCGCGACACATGATTGAATTGGCCGTTGATCGTCACGATTCGACTTCGTTCCGTTTCGATTCGACTTCGTAACGTAAGAATGTTTTCTTTAGAATTAAATTAGCGTGTGCGATGTTTCGTGGTCAAGGCTAAGAAAAAGGCCAAGCTTTTCTTTCAGATAAATCCGTTGCTAACGATCGACTGAAATGACGAAACTAAAAGAAAATGTGACCGCACTCTTGAAATATCTGTATTCACACGTAGTTTTGAAAAAGAAATTGTTCTCCGGTTTCTCTTCAAAGGAGAAGGTGGAAAATAATTGCGGTATTTGTGTGATCTGTGATGAGGCCAGTTACATTTGAGTCTAATGCGCGCGCGCGCGCGTGCACAACTCGTGTACGTCATTGTTCTATGTTCTCTAAACGTTGGTGAAATCTATTCTCACGCGCGGGACACTAGCAACTCCTGGATAGATGAGAAAACGAATTCGGTGACATTGAAGCCGCGCGTTCATCCAACTGCGTTGCACCGTGTTACGCTCGTCTCTCGACGTGCGTTATGCGTCATTCCTTCTCTCCCTTTCTCTCTCTCTCTCGTTTCTCCTTTCAGCGTTTATCTCTTCATCCGCCGAAAAATACGCCCAACCGAATTCCCGATCTGGATTCTTACATCAGGATTTTTGTTTTCTAGCCGACACAATGTCCGTCGATAAAGAGGAATTGGTACAGCGTGCAAAACTCGCCGAGCAGGCAGAGAGGTACGATGATATGGCAGCCGCGATGAAGGCAGTTACCGAAACGGGAGTCGAGTTGTCGAACGAAGAGAGGAACTTGTTGTCTGTTGCGTACAAGAATGTCGTTGGCGCTAGACGTAGCTCGTGGCGAGTCATCTCCTCCATTGAACAGAAAACCGAAGGTTCCGAGCGCAAACAGCAGATGGCCAAGGAATATAGGGAAAAGGTCGAGAAGGAGCTACGTGAAATCTGTTACGACGTATTGGTAAGAATCCGCTTGTGCGTTTTACTTTTCCTTTGTTATTGACATGCGATTTCGAGTCGATGGGTAGTACAGTTTTTGGTAAGTTTTTTCGTTCGATTTTTATTTGAGGGGGCTGATGACTCAATATGAAACAAAAAGCACGCGATCGATCACGATACGTACGTTATGATGTATAAAGGATTTGACACATTCGTGAAGCTGTAGCAGCTTAGCTTTCGGTGTTGGTCGATGGATCATCTTACACCGGCGAATGATCCTTTTTGTTGCTTCTGCGTATTCCAGTGGCTAGAAAGCAAAGATCGCTCATCGGTTTGAATTTCACCGTGGCTTGGTTACCGGCCCCCTCGTCGTCTAGTAGCTCGTCTTACGATTTTTCCTCGTCGTTCAGCAAGCGTGACAAAGCGTGTTTCTAGTAACCGCAGAGAACACTTTTTTTTCTTTTTTTTATCACGATTGGACATTTGCTTTGATTGCGATTAACGCGATGCGATTTACGTCCAAGAGCCGAGAAAGAAATTTAGAACTTCTATAAACATGTATATGGTATGAACATGTATATCGTATGTATATGGTAGAAATATAAAAATTTTCGCTTATAAACACTTTTAAATAGGAGAGAAAATATTAACTAAAAATTAATTCTATTAACGTTATTACAGGGACTCCTTGATAAGTACCTGATCCCTAAGGCTAGTAATGCCGAGAGTAAAGTATTCTACCTCAAGATGAAGGGCGACTACTACAGGTATCTCGCAGAAGTTGCTACCGGAGAAACCAGAAATGGTATGTACCTGGTAATTTAACAAATTACTAACAATTCTACAGCTATAACCTAGTTAACAATCATTTTTAGTTGAAGTTGATTTTTCATCAACGCACTTTTGAAGTGCTAGTAGTAAGTTCTTTTTTCTTCCTTTCTATTTTTCTTTTTTTTTTTATTTTTTTTCTTTTTTCTTTTTTATTTTTTCTTACGTTCTTACGTTTCACCGAAGTGCATATATCCGAATTTGAAAGCAACAATGCTACTAAACATACACTTTTGTCTGTGATTTAACATTAAATTCACACGAAAAGCAAGAGGACGCGTGTTTAGAATAGAGAAGCGTCACACAATACTCTCATACCTGTGACGGTCTTCTTCGTAATTGTGCTTCAGAAAAGAGGAAGCGCAGCTGCAACGGCAGATGTTATTTGTCCAAACTGTTTTCCGACACATTCTTAGATTTAAGTGGATTTGAAAAATTCCATGACGTTTATCGTACGTCAGAAGAATACCTTGCTTTGTTCTTAATGTGTTTGAACTTGAACAGAAACGTTTCGAAAACTTTGGTGGAATTTAATGACGTACTTTAACTATTATCATCATCATCATCATCATCATCATCATCATCAGTATTATATCATCATCATCATTATCATCATCATCATCATCATCATTATTATTATTATTATTGTTATTATTATTGCTGTTACTGTTGTCATCGTGTACCATTGTTGTCACGGTTATCTGTAGAACGTTGAAAATGACCATGTATCGGAGCAACATGGATCATAAATTCGATTATAAATATATCGACGATTGAAAAGAAAGAACGAAAGGTTGAAATTTTGCTGATAATTTTGCACGTAATATATATTCAGCCGTGGTAGACGACAGTCAGAAGGCATACCAGGATGCGTTCGAAATCAGCAAGTCAAAGATGCAACCTACCCACCCGATCAGGCTAGGTCTCGCCCTGAACTTCTCCGTTTTCTATTACGAGATCCTCAACTCTCCAGACAAGGCCTGCCAGCTGGCCAAACAGGTATAATTCACAAAGGCGAGAGTTGGTATACTCATCGATAATAGAGTTCACAGCAATCGCGGAAAGATGCGAAAGGATGGTGGTGATGCAGTGGAGGCAAAACAAACATGATATTTCGCTTTATCGTTTATGGGGTGAAGGAAGAGGCTCTTTTCAAGCTTTCCAACTTATCGTGTACCTATAAGCTCTGCTCGACTTTTTCTTCTTTTTTTTTTTTTCTTTTTATGTTCCGCACGAACGTTACAGTACGTTCACGTACACCATGAAGAAATTCTGTAAACGCTCCGCATAGAGAACACACGCGAACTGGTTGCTCGTATTCTTTTCCTGTCCCCATCTCATTCCTCCTTCCGTCCCGAGAAGTCCTTTACATATATTATACGTCGCGGTAGAGGGTGGTCACGCTTTATGTATACGTTTGTAGAAATTGTAACACGGATTTCCCGGTTTGCATTACAGCGGTAGTCGAGGATTCACAGAAAGCGTACCAAGAAGCGTTTGACATAGCAAAGTCAAAAATGCAGCCTACGCATCCCATCAGGCTCGGTCTTGCTCTCAACTTCTCCGTTTTTTATTACGAGATCATCAACTCACCAGACAAGGCCTGCCAGCTGGCCAAACAGGTATAATTTATAAGAAACGAGAGGACGATGTCGGGTAGTAGTGTTTCGCAGCAATCGCGGAAGGATGCAGCAGGAAGGATAATGGTGGTGGTGATGCAGTGGAGGCGAAAATATGATTTTACTTTATCGTTTCCGATGGGGAGGATGCTTTTATTTTTATAACTTGTCGGCGTGCATTCTGCAAATCTGCGATCGAGCTCGTGGATGGACTACTCTCGTTCCATGAAAATTGAAAGTTGTGCACAGGAGATAGATACTCATTTCCTTATTTCCCCCCCCCCCCCACTTTGTTTCAATTCCTTTCATTTCCAACGTACATGTACATATGAACAAATTTCAGTTACAGACCTCGGTAACAGAGGTGTTATGCTTTTACCTGTTAGAATTTTCGAAAGTCGTAATTTAGATTTCTCGGTTTGCATTGCAGCGGTAGTCGAGGATTCACAGAAAGCGTATCAAGAAGCGTTTGACATAGCAAAGTCAAAGATGCAGCCTACGCATCCCATCAGGCTCGGTCTTGCCCTCAACTTCTCCGTTTTTTATTATGAAATTATTAATTCTCCAGCTAGAGCCTGTCATCTTGCTAAACAGGTTAGGGATAATTGGCAGGTTTGATGCTTGGTTAGATTATTTATTCTAGGTTGAACAAACAAAAATAAATTACAATTGATAATCAGTGTGTCGTGGTACTTACTGTGCGGTAAATGCTGTTTTTGAGTGCGTACTAACCCGTTAAAAAGCATCGGAGAGAGGAAAAAGCTTCTTCGATACTTGATGCGATGATTGCTGTATTAGTCTCCACTGTATCGGTAACCATTTCGCATCATACGCATTTTAATAAATTTTTTTTACCATGTATGTAACATTTTCTATCTCTAATATGAGAAATGTTTCGTCAATGCTTTTGCACGAATCAGTGTGACATCGTGTGAAACGAAAGTATGCGAGTTTTGTAGTTTTTGGCGCGATTGCTGTGTGTTTTGTGCAAGCGTGTTTCGAATCGAATTTAATATTTGCATAAATGTTTTAGGCGTTCGACGATGCGATCGCAGAGTTGGACACACTTAATGAGGACAGCTACAAAGATTCCACGTTAATTATGCAGCTTTTACGCGACAACCTCACTCTTTGGACCAGTGACACGCAGGGCGATGCGGACGAAGCACAGGAGGGTGGAGATAACTAACCTTCCTAAGCTTAAGTCCTTTCTAACCTAATAAGAACATCCTATTCTCTATCGTCCCCCCCGTCCCTTGAAGTGCTCACCCATCCATCTACCCGAGATCGATTTATTCATTCGCCTGTCCTTTCGTCCCTCACGTATTTCGCCATTCTCTCTCTCTCTCTCTCTCTCTCTCTCTCTCTCTCTCTCTCTCTCTCTCTCTCTCTCTGTGTGTCTGTCCCCTCCCTCCCGCCCCCTCCCTTTCTCTCTCTCTCTTTCTATATATATATATATATATATCTATATCCCAATCTCTATCTTCTTCTGTTTGTCACTTTCTATTTCTTTTCTATTTCGTTCATCAATCTCAGTTATCTGCTCTATTTTGTATTCTCTCTTTCTCATTCCCAGTTTTGTTATTCGGTTTTGTTCTCTTCGGGTTTCCTTCTTCCCCCCTTCCTTCCTTTTTTTCCTTCTTTTTTTCTTCCCTTCCTTTCTTCCATCCACTTTTTTCATTCGCAAGGACGACACCGCCTTTTTTTTCCGGATCCTTATTTCCTTAATCTCCTTCTCTAAAATTATAATCTCCCTCCCTATGTTCTAATGCGACCGCACACTGCTGCCAATAACACCGCTACAGCTGTTACACCCAGTTCGAATGCTCGAACACGAGAGAATTTCGCTCTCGACCGTATCCTTTCATAAAGGATCGATTCACGTGCTGGTCGCCGAGTATACTCGCTATTATCACTTGTTAAAAAAAAAAAAAACTTGAATTTGATTTTCAATCTCAAAAAGAGAATGTTAATCTACGATATAGGTGAAGGGGGGAAGAAGGGAAAGAGAGAGAGAGAGAGAGAGAGAGAGAGAGAGAAACAGAGAGACAGAGGTAGACAGAGACAGACGAAGAGAAAATAAAATAATGCGAAGAAAAAAAATTAGCGAATTTATGCGAGATTAATGTAGGATATTGCGTAATCACGTTATGCGGCCCTTGACGAAAGGAACCGGTCGAGTCGTGAATTTCAAAAGGAGAATTACTCGATCTCTGACAACAAGTTTATCCGAGGGAAGCGTACCGATTCGTGTTTGTGTAGAAGAAACAGGAAAGGAAAGAAATTGAGGACGAACAGAAGAAAGGACAGGAATAATTTCGCAAACACTGTCTCGTTGTACAACGTTATCGAATGAAAGATATAGTACTGAACGGTATAGAAAAGGACACAAAAATATATGTAATATTACAAATGAGAAAGAAATAATCGCCAACAAATAACGGGATGTTAATGATGTTGTTCAAACTGTGACTGATTAAGAAAAAGTGTTGAATTAAGAACTAGTCTTTGAGGGATATGTGAAACAGAAACACATATCGATATCGCTGTTAAGGCGAGACACAGAATGCGAAAAATAGTCACGAAACGCTGGTCACTACTCCCAAATCCGCTCACTATTTACCATCTGAAGTATCGTTGAACGAAACAGAGATTCGAGAAGAAACAAAATGAAAGGAAGAAAAGCACGCATGAATCTAATTACATTATATCCAGTTGTCATTAAATTAAATTTCACATTGTCTAGCAAGTACGATATTATTATACGAAGGGAAGAACGCAGGAGGAGAAAGGAGAGCAAAAATACATTAAGTTATTAAGTTCCAAAACACATCAGTGGTGTGACTTAATTTTTACATTTAATTTTTACTTTCTACATATTGCACGTTTGTAATACGCAAAAAAGTCTGATGCATATACACGCGTGCGTGCAAGCACAAAATACTACATTCTATGTGCATATTCTGCTCCTGTTTTTCATTTCATTTCCTATTTGTACACGTGCCCATGTGTATATGATTTACAAATGAGATCATTTAAAACGACTTTTTTGCTTTTACATATTTATTTCAAAATTTGAACTTGTATCCTTATCATAGTTGCCGTATTATTGAGGTGAGTGAAGCACATAAATTTAGAAATGCATTTTTTTATCTATCGTCTGCCATGACCGTCCGTTGCTTAAAACATGAATATCTAAGAAGGAAGGGGACACTTGGTTTTCATTTCTGAATAGCAAATCAATACGTGACTATCTTTTGAGAAACTTTTCTCTTTATATTTTGTACATTCTGACTTTTAACTAATTCTTGAAAGTTACGTCCAAGTTACGTCTCTGTTTCTTTTCCACCTGCTCCTGTTCGTCTTCATTTCTCCTCCTCTTTCTCTTCCTCTTTATGTTTCTCTTGCTCTCGCTACCTTTCACCCTCTCCATTTCTTCTCCTCCCTTCTATCTTTCTTTCTTCCCCTCTTCCGTATATATGTTATAATATATATACATATATTATACACAGTAATATGTATACAATTGATATTTACCAGAAACTCGATCGCTAATATCACGATAAAAGAAAAGAAAAGAGAAGAAAAGAAGAAAACGAAAACGAAAATTATACGTACGCGTGTAAAAAAAAAATTATATTGTCCTGATATTCCCTTTTAACATACATACGTACCTACGCATGCATCTATACTTGTTTGTATATATGTATGTGCGTGAGTGTATGCGTGTATATATATTATATATATATAATATTCAGTTTTGTAGCCATGATCGATCTCGTGGGTATCGTTGATAGAAGGTAATTCGTTACATCCTGCAATTTTGCAAATTTATAAAACAACTATTCAGAGTGTCTTCTAAGCATTATTTATAAATTTGATTAACAAACAAATCGCAAGAAGAAAAGAAAAAAGTGCAAAGTTGGCAGAATGAATTCTTATTTGTTTCTCAAGGGTTGAAAGCTCCGTTTTAGATTTTGATCGATCGCGTATACACCATCACAGACTTCTAACAACAATAAAATTTCTTTCTGGCATCTCGGGGTGACGGATTTTAAATCGGCGGATCGGAGACGTATAACGGTCTGTGATCGGCTCGACCGAAACCTCGATGAAAGGGACGAACGTTGCCATTTAAAAAATGGAAAGGATAACAAATGAATAACAATAACGATAAATTGAAATCAACGCGTCCAAATGCAACGGATACGTTCGGTCCAGGGGCGGATTAACGTGTATATATGTATGAATCGAGTGCTTCTAATTATTTGAGAAATACGACAAGTCCGTTTTGTATTTTACTTAAATTCTAAGTAACAATTCCTAATTTTTCACCGATCGAAATAAATGAAATTCCATTTATTTCTATGTTAAAAACCAATCATTCTTTTTTACGATATTAAAAATAAACGAACGTTAAATATTCACTTTCGTTTCTTTTTACTCTTGTTTATATATTGTTACGAAATCAGTCTCGAAATCCTTGAAAATCCACCTATCCGCCTCTGGCTCGGTCCATTCCATTAGGTCCTAATCTACCTAATCTCGGTAGAATGAACTCTGACGTATTCTTCGTCTCGTATGCATGGATACTTTTAAGTATATGTAAAATACGCGCGCTTACCCTAAACACACAGGCGTAGACTTACATATACAGACACAAATATATATAATATACGTAAATGTTTATTATATGCAAACAAATAACAATTAATGATATTACAGCGTGTGTTGCGTGGGTAAACGTTTTCCAAATATGTTGTACTTTTTAATGTGTCCATGTTTCTGTCGCATTGAACACACAATAGAGGATGAATGAACAAAGTAGGAATATAAAGACGAGTCGATTTTGCAAAGGTATCCATTTTGAGTAGACTTCGAATTGCAACGTCATAAGCCAATAGTCCATTACGATTCTTTCGTTCAAAGTATTAATATTAATATTTCGATAATGAAAAACCGTGATTGATAATTACATTCTTTTTAACATACCTTTTTTTCTTTTTTTTTTCTTTTTTTTTTTTATTTATTCACGCAAGTATCAATTACCGATGCAAAAGAGGCTGAAACGTGTAAGAATGGTACGATAAAATTATGTGGAATGGCTCCGAAGAGAATCTTAAATCCAACCAGAAATGGACCAGTCGAGCGAGTTCGGGTAGATATTGTAAACGAAAAATTGATATCATTCTCTCTGAAAGTAACTACACATATATTGTTCTTTAACATCAGTCTCGTGCAGCGCATCTTTAGTAATGTTCAGTTTCTCTTTCTTTCTTCATGGTCTTTTTGACCGTGGAACTTTTCAACCATCGACGTTTCATTAGCATTTTGTCCTTGTATTCATGCTACTCTACGTGGAGCATTAATTCGTTGTAATTAATTTACCTTCCTTTCAATATTCTCAACGTTATGATTTCCCCGAGTATGTGTATATATACATATATTTTTGTTATTAACGACATCTTCGCAAATTTACTTTGTAGATAAAGAGAACGAGGATCTCTTACGGGTTACGAAGAGGCGATGTACAATTTTTGTAATTTTCTTATCGATCCCTTCCTGCGCTCGTTTCCTTGATTAATCTTTCTCCTCTCTATTTACTTTTTATTCAGTCATTGTACGAGTTTAGATTAGTAATTTGATTATCAAGATATTTATCACTATGTTATAACAAATAACAAATGGTAAAACGTTATCTTTCACTTTAACAGTTATATGATATCTCTTGATTCGTAAAATTTCTCTCTCTCTCTCTCTCTCTCTCTCTCTCTCTCTCTCTCTCTCTCTCTCTCTGTCTCTGTCTCTGTCTCTGTCTCTGTCTCTTTTCTCATCCTCCGTCCGCTCCCTTCCTTTTATTTCGACTCCTTATTTCCTCTACGCGACGAAGGCGACCATCATTTCTCTCAAAGATCCGCGCGCGCCACTTACCACTCCATTGAATCGTACAAATGCACTACTTTCATTCGACATCATGGGACGTGTGCGCGATAAACGAAAATCGTGTTGTCTTCTGTTGCGTAGCCTTGGAAAAAATGGAGCGGAAAACCTGGCTGCGATTAGGTAACTGGATCGGATCGCTCTGGTTCAGAGTGGAAACGTTCTCGAGGACAAACAGATATCGCCCGTTCGATCCGTCGACTCGCGATGAAACGCAAAACCATCACGCTATCCTGACAATTACGCAATCTCCGGTTATGGATACGAACCGAGTCCTTCTCGAGCGGTAGTCCCGGTATCAGCTTCCATCCAGCATGGAGATTCAACGGAGATTAACGTACACGTTTAACGCGTCATTTCGAGATTCAACTTGCCAGAGTCTTGCGATCAACGAGGATCTCGAGGGACTCGAGAGACAAGGGTCACTCCACAAGGCAAAGGGAAGAACGAAAGAGAAGTTCTCGACGCAACGGACGTCGTCTGACTCGGAAATCTACGATCTCTATCGGGTCCTCGGAAAGCAACGGCCGAGGAACTCGATTCCAAATCTCATCGTCGCTCCGTCATCAATCGGAGACAGGGATCGTGGGATCGTACGGGCCTCCGAGGGATGGATCCAGCGATCACCAGCGGGCGTCACCTCGCATCGGAGAAGCATCGAATATCGCGGAGGAAGTTTCTTGCGTTCCGAGAATCCGGCCGGACCGCGACGGTTGTTAGTTTCGGGTTTAAACAAAAATAATTAATCAGCCTCGGGCCGGCAGTTTCGCCGTCGGCTCGTCGTCCTCTCCTCTTTCGTTCTCTCGCATTCTCTCGTCCATGTCCTGTCTCCTCTCTCTTTCTATCCTTCTGCTATGTCCCGGTATCCATTACATTATACATCACCGCGGATATTCGAATTCTAATTTATTCACGGGACGACTCTTCGGGACGAAAGTCTTCCGTCCTCTTCGATCCTCGCCTCGTCGCCCCGTATTTCTAAGCTCTTTTTCTCCCTCCATCGTGCCTATAAATCTCTCGGACGTCCCGTAATTGTCGCGATCCCCGCTCCGAAAGACTGCGCCCCGTGTCTCCTGACGAAAAAGCAGATCTCTGAGACGTCGCTCTCGTCTCTCGCCATATACCACCCCCGTTTTCTTAATACCACCGATCCATCCTTAATGAAAAAAAAAAAAAAAAAAAGAAAGAAAAGAAAAAAATAATTCGGAAAACGTACGTAAGAATTCGGTCATTCTCGTGTTAACACGAAACGCGTCGATACGGAAAATAAGCTTTACGACGCCAGGAACGTTCGGTAACTGGTAGCTTCTGCTACCGGAGCGGAAGCGACCGCGCATGCAAGCTTCGACCGGACGATGAATTATCGGGGGCGCGCGTGGAATACACGGCGGAGTGACATCTGAGAAAGGGAAGAACGGTATCGCCTAATTCCGACTCGGCGAGCGTCGAGCACGGGTATACTATATACGGAGCAGCCGGTGGCCGCTATCAAGGCTGATTCGCAGAGGTGGTTCTGGGGCTGGTTCAGACACTAAGCCCGTAGACGCGGAGAAGCACCTGTGTCCCTGCTCCGCCCCCGGCCGAACCGACGACTAGATCGATGCGAGAGCTCTGTGTTCTCCCTTCTCCATTTCTCTCCGCCGTGTCTCTCTCCGGCTCTTCTCTTTCTCTCTGTCGTTTCTCTCTAGTTGTCTCTTTGCTCTTTCTCTCTTCCATTCTCCCTCTCTCTCTCTCTCTCTTTCTCTCTCTCTATCTCTGTCTCTATCTCTTCGCAATATCTCTCTGCGCATCTCCGCGGCGGGTTCTCACGGCAAACAATGCACCGCGCGACGCCCTCGAAAACATCCACTTCTCTTGTCGCGGCGAGGCCAGAGAGCCGCGTGTCGCTTTCGAAATTTATTTCCCGCTAAAGCTCCCGATGCATCGAACGCTCGCCTCTCTTCTCCCCGGGGAACGAGACCCGTCACCGAGGCCGGACCTGTCCGACGTTTCGCCAACAGCCGCCGCGACGCGTCCGTCCGGCAACTTATTCACCTGCCCCGATCGCGAGCTATTCCAATGGCTTTCCAAGCTGCGCTCCGCGCTCCTCCGTGCTTTCGTCCAATGATATCTGATCCCCTTTCGAAACTGCTCTTGCTAACTCTCGAATCTCAGCGACCGGTCGTTTCCTGAGAACGGAACAAAGTCGCAGGCCAAAGCTGCAGCTCGGTGAGAGAAACTCGGACGAGATTCATGGACGAATGCAATCCAATCTGACAATTTTTTTCCCCGATTAAGACGTGGAATGTGTGAAAGCCGCGTTATTATGAATTTCTCCCTAAGAAAGAAAAAAAAAAAAAGAACCAGACTTGGGACTTTGCTTTAATCTTAAGACGAAGTGCGAAGACAGTGGTTTCGTAGACTTAACGTTTCTTTGTCATCGCCTTTGTGCCTATTTGGACTTACTCGGTTTTTTTTTCTAATTCTTCGATTGATAAAACTTCATGTTACAAAAGTCACACGGTTTAATTTTTGTTTCTTCCCAAGAATATTAGCAGAATTCCTCGGTGGTACAAGTTTTCTATGTCCTTCGGTAATTCGAAATGGCATCGTGCCACAATTGAGACGTCGAGCGATCGATCTGTCACCGCGTGACCGCAAAAAACCGGGAGAAAATCACCGACTGAAGCGAGAAACGTGGATCCAAGTAGCTACCAGGACTAAACGCTCGGCACGGTAGAAAGAGGCGCGGAACTTCATAAATCAAACGCCCTAGCCGCCTTCCAATGGATGGCCATTGTCGACGGTTCCGGAACCGCTGTTCCGTTCGTCGAGACAGATCTAATTAACATCCTAACGCAGTACCAGACACCGGGAGAGAAAGCTACCGAAGACCGGGTCGATTAGCGATAAACCGCGATAAATGGTGGTCCCTTTTTCGCGACAGCCTGGTGGCAAGGGTCGTGAGCGTGCGGCGTATTTATCCGCGGCGTCATCTGGCGACTTCGGAGAATGGAATTTGATTGGCCGTTTGCCATAACCATCCCGCTCGAGTTTCACCGCGCTCCGCCGCTCCACCGCGTGTCCGTTCCTACGCGCGTATCTCTGTTCTCTTAGGTTCCTCCATTTTCTCGCTGTTCCGTTCCAACGCGCGCCAACTCGCGCCGCGCACGCACGTGCGTGCGTAACACAGCCGCCACGGAGGACATTTCACGGGGCAAATATAGAAATGCAAATGAACGTCGATAGCTCCCGGGTTATCTCGGCTCTTATCTCCACAGCTGCGCAATAAGCCGGAACATTAGATCGTAATAACGCCGGCGTCGAATTAAAACGCGAGCAAACCTCTTGTCGATTTATCTGCCCGTAACGCTGGCTGTTGTTATTCCGCGCGTGTTGTAACAACAGTTGAATCACCGAGCAACAACGCAAACAATGCGTGTATGTATATATATATATGTATAGAAAAGCGAGCGATTTCGAAGTATTCGTATCTAGGATGCAGAAA